AATAAATAAATCTTAAAAAAAAAAAAGAACTGGGGTACAGGCCAGAGGTGTGCGGAGGTGAGAGGATTCATCAGAGACAGAGTGGGGAGCAGACAGGCAGATCTAAGAAATGCACTGCTGAGGGGAGCTGTGGGGGAAACAGGAGAGGTCTGCCGTGCTATGTAGGTCAGCTCCCTAGCCAGAGATGTAACTCTATGCTACAGTGGATGCCTATAGCTTCATAGTGCTGAGACTTAACCCACTTGTGCCACCAGGGAGACCCTTACCTACATTTTTTTAAAAAGTAAGGTCCATCTCAAACCATATATCCTCCATCAGTTCTTTTTGGGTTCTTCCCAGAGTCTCCTCCCCCAACTGCCTAATTGTTACTGTTTCTCCATTGAACCCCAAAGCACCTGGCAGCCCTTGTTTAGCATGTAACTTGCATGTGATATTTATCTTAGTTTACTGAAAATAGACAATACTACAGTGTTCATTGACAATAGATAATTTCTATTTTAGAACTGTTCAAATATTGGGACTGTTAATAAGTCAGTGTTATAAAACAAAATTAATATGCAAATATCGATTGTGTTAATCAATTAGAAAGTGTAATTGTGGGAAAGATGGCATAAGGTACCCAATATTTAGGAATAGCTTACTATAATGAAACATGCTTTATATGGAAATATTACAGAATTCTATTGAAGGCATAAAAAAGATATACATAAAAACAGAGCTAATCCATGTTGATGGATGAGAAGACACAAAATGATAGAAATATCCCAAAGTTATAAACACTAAAATTTCAATCAAAATCCCTATCGCATTCTTCAAGGATCTGACAGGTTATGTTAAAATTCATATAGAAGAGACAGGTCTAAGAAGAGCCAAGATATTCCCAAAGACTGAGGAAAGGAACTTACCCTCAAGGTCATCAGGACTTATAATAAAGGTGCAGGAACCCAACTATTGCAGCAATGATGCAATAGACTTAGATAACACAGGGACAATCAAGAAATCCCAGAAACAGATTCATACATGCCAGAGAAGCTGATATGTGACAGATGGAATTACATTCAATAAATGCGGCAGGCACTATTAATTATCCATGCAAGCAGAACAAAAAAAATAAGTTAGAGTTTTACCTTATACCATCTAACAAAATCAAGTACAGGTTGATAAAAAGTAATTGGGAAAGGCAAAGTTTTAATACTTTTGGATAACGTCTTTATAATTTGGGGATTACAAAGGATTTCTTAAGTGGAAGACCAAAAATCCAAACCTCCCCAAGAAAAGAGATTGATAAATTCCAAATATGAACATTATCAATTTCTGTGCCTCACTGAGCACCTTTAAAATCTTGAATAGATAAGGAGTAAACTGGAAAAATATATTTGAATATATAACTGATAAGTATTACTCTCCAGAATATATTAAAATACTATATATTTTAATATATTAAGATATATTAAAATACTACACACTTTAATATATTAAAATATAATAATATATTACAATACATTAAAATAAAGGTATAGAAAAACTGAACTGTTCCATAATCATTAAAGAACTTGAATCAATACTAGAGTTAAAAATCTTGGTACCTGGGGCCACCCTAGTGGCGCAGCAGCTTAAAGCACTGCACTGAGACGCTAAAGCCACTTCCACATGGGTTCGATTCCCACCTGCCCCGGAGGTGACCACATGGCGTGGCAGACCTCTCCTGACCCGCCCGCTGCTCCCCTCAGCAGTGTACTTAGTCGATCTGCCTGTTCTGCTCCCCACTCTGTCTCTGGTGAAGCCTCTCACTGGCCCTGAGCCTCTGGGCTGTACCCCAGCTCTGTATGCACAAATAAATAAATCTTTAAAAAAAAAAAAAAACTTGGTATACCAAAAAATTCTGATCTTAGAATATTTTGTTGAAAGATTCTATCAACTTTTCAAGGAATAAATTAATCCAATGTAAATTCTTGCAAATAGAAGTAGCAGAAACAATCCTCAACCTAGTAGAACATAATATAACCACACTCACATCCCCATATGTCATGATGATATTGCCATGACCAAAAACAATTGAGAAAAGTAAAAAGAGACATTTGGATTAATCTCACTCATAAACATGATCAAAGAATCTTAAAATATTGAGTAAATTTAATAGTGCATATAAAAGATATTTCATCATGAGCAAAATGACTATCTCAGAAATCCAAGGGTACTTTAATATTATTAATAACTTATATGACATAATATGTAGAACCAAGGACTGAGTCTAAGAAAGGATGAATAAAACTATTATAGGGGAAAAGTTAAACTTTATTAAAAGACATTAAGGAAGCCCTAGGTAAATTTTAAAAATTACCATATTCATGGACAGAAAGACTACTACTATTGTACCACCTCCCTGGTGGTACAATGGGCTAAAGCACAGCACTGTGGGGCTATCCACAGCCACTGCAGCACAAGCAAGAGTTCCATCCCTGGCCAGGGAGCTGACCCACATGGCAAGACAGACCTCCTCTGTCTCATCTGCTGCCTTTTCTGCCTTTCTGCTCCCTACTCTGTCTTTGGCGAATCCTCTCACCAACACCCACACCTCTGGCCTATCCCCCAGCAGTTCTTGTGTGCATAAATAAATAAAATCTTTTTAAAAATCACTAACGTACAAATCTAGAAGGTACTTGATGATAGAACAACTGGTGATCTATGTGAGAGGACCTCTACTTTCTACCATATACATTATTTAATTTCAGATGAATTATACACTTAAATGTGACATGAAAGTATGAAGTTACATGACCATATCCCTGTCTTTGCTGTGGATTGTGGAGGGTGTTTGTCTTCAGTCCAGCCTAAAAACTTACTTTCACACTTCACCTTTACCACTTAGAATGCTTTCAACCTCGGGTAACAGAAAACTCCATCTCAAATTGACTCAACAATAAGGATATTTATTATCTCAGATAACAACAAATCCAGAAATAGAGCAGCACCAGGCTGATTGATTTACTGGCTACAACAACATCACACACCCGGATTCATTCTATCCCCTTTTTCTGCCACCATCAGTGTGTTGGCTTTGTCCAAAGGTTGGCTCTCCTAATGCTTCTACAATGTCTATACCTGTTTCAGGTAACACAACCAGGTGCAACAACATCCAGTGGGGATGGTGGCATGGTTCCTTGTTTAACAGCAAGAAAACCTTTCTTGGAAAGTCACCAGTGGACCTGTGTTCTGGTCTCTCTGGCTAGGTGAGACTATGGTTTCACCTGGTCTCATCCTAACCAGGCTAGGTGCTATCCTAATCCTTCACCTGAGGTCAGGAGCATCCTATTTCCCTTACCTGACATAGGTTTAAGAGTGTACCTCTGAAATGAGCATAGGGTCACCTTGCCTAATGGTTAAAAACCTATACAGGCTCCTGTAAAGAAAGATGAGGGTGGAATGGTTATGGAATAGACAAGCCACGGTATCTACTACCCGTTCCTAGTGAGATATAACAGATAATTCATATTGTGAATTATAAAATACTTAACCTTCACTGCCACGTTGGGTTTTTTTTTGTTTTGTTTTGTTTTTTTTTTTACTTTCTACATCAGAACCAAGTGAGATTTTACTGGGTGGGAGAAGATATTTTCATATTATATGTCCAACAAGGAGTTAATACCCAAAATATGTAAATAATTCATAAAACTCAACAACAAAAGCAAACTGATTAAAAGATGGGATGAGGATCTGAATAAACCCTTCTCCAAAGACATGTAGACATGGCCAACTAGCTAATAAATAGATGTTCACTGTCTCTTATAATTAAAGAAATGCAAACCAAGCCAATGAGGTATCACCTCAAACCAGTGAGAATGGCCATTATCTAAAAGTTAAAAAATAATTAGAGTGGAGAGAACACTTGGCGGGACTGTAAATTGGTACAGTGTTTAAGGAAGTGGTATGAAAATCCCTCAAAAATTAAAAGTACAGGGCTCTCCCTGGTGGCACAACAGGTTAAAGCACAGCACTAAGAAACTAAAGCCAATTCAGCATGAGTTCATCCCCACCTGCCACCGAGGTGATCTACATGGCTTCGCAGACCTCTCCTGACCCGCCCACTGCTCCCCTCAGCAGTGAACCTCGTAGATCTGCCTGTTCTGCTCCCCGTTCTGTCTCTGTTAAGTTCTCTCACCTCCCTGCACCTCTGGCCTGTACCCCAATTCCATAGGCACAAATAAATCTTAAAAAAAAAAAAATTAAAAGTACAAATCCCGAGATCCAGACATTCCCTTCTGGATAGTTATCCAAAACATACATAAACATGAATGTAAAGAAGTTTATTCACCCCCATATTCATTACAGCGTTATTCCTATTAGCCAAGTACCAGAAACAGCCTAAGCGACCATAGGCAGAAGATCCCATAAAGATGAGGCATATGGGCTCTCCCTGATGGTGTAATGGGTTAAAACAGCACTAAAGCTCTGGGAAGCCACAACAGCACCAGTTCTATCCCCAGCGAGGGAGCTGACTTACATGGTGCAGCAGTCCTCTCCTGGCCAGCCTGCTGCTACCCTCAGTAGTGTGTTTCAGTAGATGTGTTTCTGCTCCCCACTCTGTCTCTGGTGAATCCTCTTACCTACCATACCTCTGGCCTGTACCCCAGTTCTGTAGGCATAAATAATAAATCTTTAAAAAAAAAAAAAGATGTGGCATATATACACAATGGAATGATACCTAACTACTAAAAAAAAAATCCTGAAATTTGCAAAACATGGATGGACTTAGAGGGTATTACCCCTAGAAAAATAAATCAGATGAAGAAAGGCACGGTATGATTTCACTTATATGTCGTTTATGAAGAACAAAAACAAATGAACTAAATAAAAGTAAACTTTTTTTTTTAACTACAAAAGAACAAATTAGTAGTCACCAGAAGGAATCAGGTTAAAGAGGTCAACTGTATGGTGAAGAATACAACTGGACTTTTAGTGGTGAAGTTAATATAGTATACATAGTTGTTTATAAAGATGCATACTTGAAATTTACATAATGTCCTAATAGATGATTAAGTCCCTAAAAAATTAAACAAAAAAACACCAATTGCTTTACTTTCTACCAGTAACATGTCAATGTATCAGTTTCCTCATTTGCATGAAGACTAGACAAGTGTTTTATAAACTCCCTTCTAGCTCTAGTTCTATTTCTAGTTTTCTTTTATAAAGAAGCAAGTTGAAAAGTTAAGCCTACAAGATATAATCCAGAAATGAGAACTTTTCATTTGAGCAGTCATAAATCTGGCTAACATCCTTTTCTCCCTTAAATAATTTTAGACAGAGGCATTAAGTTGAAAGAACTAAACCATAATTGATAATCTTTCCATTAAGTTTAATATTAAAAAGGTTAAATTTTTAAAATGAAAGGTTAAGTGTTTTACTTTCCTCATGCAATCAGTAATACCTATAACTTCTAGTCCTCACAGTACAGAGATTGAGAAGTTCCTTTTCACAGCTCACTTCTTTAGTTTGATTATATCTCCCAGAGTTTATAGCACTAGGGACTATCATCAGCTATCTCTTGTATCTCTGCTTTGGCTACCAACTATAACTGCCTTTCCAAGTCACTTCTATGTCTTTCACAGACTTCAGCTGAAAGAATGCTCCACTCATTCCACAACACCCAGAGATAGCAAATTTTTTTTGCCATATCAAACTTTTGCTACTTTTTTCCATCTCAATGACATTGTTCTAATATTTTCAGTTTACACCTACCGTCAACTCTCTCTGGGAAAACATCCCGTTATTTCTATTTTTAAAGATTTATTTTTATTTATTTATGCATATAAGGACGGGGTATAGGCCAGATGTGCTGGTGGGGCAGGTGGGTGTGAGAGGATTTACCAGAGACAGAGTTGGGAGCAGAACAGGCAGATGTACTGAAATACACTGCTGAGGGGAGCAGTGGGTGAGACAGGAGAGGTCTGCTGTGCCACTTGGGTCAGTTCCCTGGCTAGAAGGAAGCTGAACTCATGCTGCAGTAACTGGCAATAGCTTGAAAGTGTTGAGACTTTCAGCCCTGAGCAACCAGGGAGGCTCCTATCATCCCAGTCTTATTTAATAGATTGCTTTAACTTTTGGCAAATTCGCAGTAGGAAAAAGAAATATTGTGTCTGTTACACAGGACATTTGGAATAACAAACGTACAGGACAACTTGAACATGTGAATTAAACTGGTTTGGTTATACCTCCATTACAAGTAACTTTCCAGTTCAGATTTGTCATTCCGGAGAGGAGGCCCAGGGTCCAGTGCATTATCACAGTTGGTAGTGGAAACCACCTTGGACTCAGCATTTAGGGTGTGTCATTGTTCATGCTGGTCCCAAGAGTGTGGAAAATTATCTTTCTTTTCTGACTCCGTCCTCCTGCTGGGAAAGGGGTGGCCCTACATTGACACCCACAAAGAAAAAACTGCCTCTTTGGGGGAGCCCCAAAGTGGAAGGGAAAAGACTTAAGAACCAACCAGATGACCTTGACCAAGTCATATCACCTCTGTCTGCCTCATGAAACTCTGACTGGAGAAGCCTCACTCTGCCTCAACACACAAGATTGTTATGAACATCAAATGAGAACACGAAGAAAACATTTTCACAAATTCAAAGTGGTGTTATTATTTTCAAATATAACTTCTCTGTAGCACTATGTGGTTTTTTCCCCCTTTTGACCACACGATTCTACACATTTCATCCCAGATTATGATGCTGTTTCACATACACACACCTCACCCGGCCCCACCCACACTTCTTTTGCTGATTCAGAGATTACATCGGCAATGGCCACATCCATCCCTTTGGTTGGCTTTCCTTCTACCACTTCTCACCACAAATCCCACCATAGTGTGAAATACTACATACTAACTACTTTCAAAATTCAACATATCTTAGGCTGTGAGAATAAGTGCTGTAAGGAAAAGTTATACTGAAACTAGGTAGCAAGAGTTTAAAAAGAACGATCACATCTAATTAGAAAAAGCCTCTGGAGGCTAAGTCTGTGATGCCAGTATGTTCATAATTTTGGCTTTCCTCCTATATCACCCACCCCACTTCCAAGCTTCAGAAACAAGACGGTGTAACTCCCAAGAACCTGGCTGAGAGAGAATCCTGGCTAAAGGGCTCACAATAACAAAAGGGAAGCGTTTTAACATTTATTTACTAAGTCCAGCTACCTTTAGCTTGCTGGGCAGGAAGGTGCCAGAACGGCTGTCCAGCCCTTGTAACTCCCAGGAAAGAACGTTCATCAAGCATGTGTTAAGTGCCAGCCAGATGCAGGATTTCACATATATCCCTGATATGTGTTTAGTCCTCCCAGCGTGGCTTCAAGCCTGAAGCATATTTTACAGATGAGGATGCTAAGACTCAAAGCGGGTGAGAGATCCACTCTCAGCTCTAGTGGCCCCTGCGTATGTGTGGGCTCTCGAATACCCTCAGCCCAAAACTTAGGATCACACTGAAAGACCACCTTGGCATCTACCCAAGTTCCTCTACTTCCCGAGAGCCCGGCCTGGGCTGGCATAAAGCCAACATAATGTACGTCTTAACAAGCTTCCAAAGAAAGATGCTCACTCACCCAAGAGCTCCTCACCCGCTTGAAACGCCTTTGCCACCCACCACTCTGTAGCCCCGAGCTTCTCAAAAGAGCCGACGCGGCTTTTTCTCAAGGTTGAGATGCTCCACGCCTACTGAGCGGTCACGCAGTAGGGACCCAGATCCGGGAAGGGACACCAGCTCGGGAGGGCAGCACGGGGCTGGGGGCGGGGGAAGGTGGGGAAGCCCCTGGCGGCAGCCGGGGTGCAGGGGTCCCGCC